CATTAAATGTAGCGATTTATTTTTTTGATAAAATTATTTAAGTCGTGTATAAATGATAATATTGAATTTACTAAGAACGCGAATACTGGCCTTAGTAAAAAAAATATTTAAAAAGTAAATCCGCACAATTTATTTAGTAACTAAGTGGATTAAAAAAATATATTACGAACTGCTTCAAATTATGAAATAAAACGTAATTTTTACTCAAAAGTTTATATAAAATATAGCGACGGAAGAAATGCAATACCTTCCATACAATGACGATAGGCAACTCAGGTAGCACTTTTACCTGGAAAATATTAACACCTAATGACCATTATACTTATATACAATGGTTTATGACCCTATTAGACCAGTAACAAAAGAATCTCAATGCCTTCCATTTATTCGTCTATTAGTACCAACGATAATTGACCGATAATTAAAAAAATATTGTACATCAATAAATGTAATATTCAGGAGTAACAACGTTTTAATTTTTTAGACCCGTTTCATACATTTTTTTCATACATTTGATGTAGGTGTATTGTTACCTACTTATCAAAAAGCAATTTAATAATATCGATTACATAAAAATTATGTACAATTTGGACGATGTACCTATTATAGATAAACATAACGAATTGTTTGTTGTCGGCACCTTCTTGAGTCTAGCAGCTCTGTTAAAAAACTGTTCATACAAAAATTGATAATCTTGTGTCTTACATACTTTAGGTGACAAATCTCAAAGAAAATTTCAACCAGCAATTTTGTCGACCAATGAAATGCGGATTTCGTGTCACATTTCCATGGCAACCAAGGAATTTATCGTCAATTTTTTGACGTAAAAAGGTAATAATGTTTTGAACGTCACTTTTTCGTTGAGGGTCACTATGGTGTGAAATTTTCTTACCGAATACCACAGTGATTGAATAGAATTTTTTTCTTGCTCACGAATATTTTGCAAAAGTTCAAATATTTGTGAGCTCGAAAAGTTTCCGGAAATAGCAAGCACTACTATTACAAGTGATAATTTTTTATTTCAGCATGTCGTTAGTAAAAAATTGTCAAAGTCCCCGTGTGAGATCTTGTCGAAAATACCACATTCCCTTCGTCGGTACTCGCGTCCGACGTCACGTGCATCCCCAATTTGCGTTTGAAGTTTTACTCCACCATCAGTAAGATCTTGGCGGGGGCCACCACATTTCAGATTGTTTTCAAAATGGTGCCGTTGGAAAGATCTTGTAAACGGACACAACAACTGCGTGGCGAAAATTTGTTTTTTTCCTGGGTACAAAATTAACCTCATTTTACAAGGCGCACGTCTTCGAGGGGTAGTTGACTTAGGGTGCCCAAAATGTATCTTCCTCGAATTTTGTTTCTGAAAGCTCGAATCGCGATCTCTCTTTCTCGTGTGGCTAATAGAGCTATGAAAAGTGCCCCAAAAATTGAGAACTACTAGGTATTTTGTGGAGAGTTTTTAGCAAAATTCATCTAAATGCGAATTGTGGGTACCGACAAAGGGATTGTGTTAGCTTGCGATAAGATCTTTTTGATGGTGGCTGATCTGCCATACAAAAATGCGCTGATCTCTCTTCGATCCCACACGAGGACTTTGATAATTTTTTAATCTACCTATGCTTTTGATAATTACACTCTAGGTTTGACGGCTAGCCAAATAAACTATTTTCGTAAAGCATCAGGCGAATGTCGTGTTGGAATTGGAAAATTTCCGAAAATCTATTAAAACATTTTTTGTAATGAAAAATGAGTCATTTATTTTGTTGTAAATTAGATCAGAATTCAGATATATAATTTGATAAATGGGGGAAGGTTGAAAACGCAGCAAATACCGGGCTACATTGCGGAAGCCATGCGAAATATCGAAAACTGTTCATCTAATTGAAGAAAAGTACTATTCTTACATCCGCGCACCTGTGAAAATCGTTATCATATAAATTTAGAAATCTATGGGGCCGTAGTTTGATCGGATGTAATAATTGTTTAAATAAATTTGTGCTATGAACCACAAAAATTGAAGACCAGTTGTTCTTGTTTCGGAAATTGTTCCCTTCATTACCCAAGTCCAAATCTCAAAAAGTCATTATTGTAAATCCCTATATAGGAAGTAAGTAGGAAATCTTAGAAAGTAATACATTAGTAATCATTTTTATATAGGTATGTAGAGCTTTCAGCTTTGATTTCCTATTCTATATTCAAAGGTTTCCAGTATTAGTAAAACTGTAAAACATCAGGAGAAAGTTGAAATTCCATAAATCAGTTACTTTTGTTGAATAGCCGCTAATGAGGGTCTGGAATCTGGTTTTATTGTAGGAAGATGAGGTCATTTGCAGGTAACTTATGCCTGGTGAAACTTGTCGAAATGCACGATTGGTTGCCTATATAATTATTTGCGTAGGCGCAGCTTAAATTTTGAATGGCCTGTCCCTAGCCGCCTTAAAATATGGAAATAAATTCAAATTTATTAGGAATAAAGTTACCATCTTAAGCAGTGCATCACATCTGCACCAAAATTTCAGATGAGTTTCATTACCTATCCGTCCGATTATAAACATGATGTACATTAGCATTAATAATAATCAATCACTATTTCTAAAATAATCAATGGGTACACGATCGCTAAGTTCGCGTTACCGAGCGCTATTAGACCAAATTAATTGAAAATACAAATTTAGAATCGACCTTCGTTGTCAGACGCAAGATGGATCTGAAATTTACTTTTTTGTAAAAGCAAACGCCTCGCTTAATCGAAAGGAACCACTTAAAAAATCGATAAGTTTGTTTGAATAAGGGCATTCGATTTGTGGAATGAGGTGCAATGTAATGTAGTAAATTTAAAACATCGAGCGCAGGCGGTTCATTTAAAAGAAGACCAAAGTAATTAAGTAATTTACAGTTTGAAGTGGAATTTCTGTGGTTGGCACTTGGTACGATCCGTAAATATTGAGAAACTATTCTATATAGTATAGAGTCTTTAATGAAAGGTCGGATATAGTAGAGATTTGGATAAATATGGGTTCCGGCTCCCCGAACTCATAGTTAATTATTGTAACCTTGATGTAGAGAAGTTTATGTAAATTTAAGCCAATCAGTGTTCCACAAGAGCCACTAGAAATCGTTAATGAAGCGAAAGCATTAATTACCAGTAGGAATTTAGATTGCAAAATCAACAAGGAGAAGAAGAATCCGTATCTTTAAATGCAGCAGGGCGGATATTATCTATTGTTCGAGAAAACTGAAACCTTCTTGAAACCTTTTCATTTAGTTCAACTCGAGGTTCAACTACTGCACTGCGTTGGAATTATTGATGTCAAGTGGACAGCTAACATAAAGGAGATTTGCAGGGAGTATGAAGTGGCCGCAAAGCCCACAAGAATCAACAACATTACGCCATTCCTTCCATTATAATGTTTGCAGAGTAAGCAAACGAATTCAGTTGGCGTTTTACCTTCACCACCTTTAATTTGCACACAATTACGTCAAAATTGGTAGGTATTTCTCTTCCAAATTTATTCAAATTGTCACATTCTTCGTCCACTTATAATTGTAATTGTAAAGGTTAACAAAACCTTATAAATTGCGATCTCCATTTCTGATTCGTTGTTAAAAACCACGGGGGAAAGCCATTTGTTGCACTATATACGATTGTCCCCCTCCATGAATCGTCTTACGTATAAGTACTTAATATATACTCAATCTTCCAAAAACAGCTTTGAAACTAATCTACGTCAGCGAATTTATTGCTGATGGCGAAGACTTAAATCACCAACGTATTTTGTGAAAGCTCTCTCGTTCGGTCCCTCGACGGTTCAATAAATGACCGAAGTAATTCAAAGATGACATCATGCGATGTCACGGTTTTTTTAACATTTTCGTGGAAATATACGCCCGTCTGTCAAAAATGATCACTCATACTAGGGAGAATGTGATAATGGAATAGTAATTAAAGTTCAGAAAATGAATTGTAACGTTACGAGGACGAGGCGACGTTATGAGGAGGAAGTTCTAATCGAGTGTCGTTACGATTCTTCACGGACGTATGGCGTTTAATATTTTATTTCATACTGGCTCTGGTTTGATATATTTAATAAAAATATCATAATGAGAAAAACCGAAACTGCGATAAAAATGGAATGGTCTCCATAGTAATGATGACGATAAACAAAAATAAAATTTGTGGAAACTAAACTGCATGGACGTTTCTGAAACGAAATACAGAAATGGTATATGAAATTTGTGCAAAATCTTCTGAAGCGATAGTAATAACAAATAATGGTGAATGACGAGCGTGCCGATAATGACGGTGAAGGCGTTAGTGATTACGACTGTTTCTGAGTTCCTTGATTTGTGATATAACAAATTTTGCGCAATCACATTAAAAAAGCTTTCGCACGGTTTTCTATGTAATTTTTAATACCTGTTAGAAACAGTAGTTAATTACAAATGTTTTGAAGTTTTTATGTAACTTTGTTCCTACATAGGTACAGGATTTTTCGTTAAATTTTAGATCTAAAACACGTAAAAGTTAGGTAAATATAAAAATTAATAATATTACAAGCTTGTGTCTGTGTAATTAACGGTCTGTATACAGCTTGCAAAACGGTCTTTTACAGACCCTCATTTCATATTGCGAGGTAGAGGAGGGATGGAGAGTAAACGGATTCTGAATTACTTGCATAGAAAAAAGGGAGTGCCCGGTTTCGTATACTTATACAATGTAACTACAAAACTAAGATTCCGAACTTTTTAAGTACAGATGTTTTTTCATCATTGCAAAGAATATCCACGCTCGAAAATTTGTTAGACTTCAACTACAAAAGCAACATTTCATAAGAAGAACGTTAATGTAGCATAAATATTTTAATAAGTAAGTTTACCATCTAAATTGTAAACCCTGCTTTTTGTGTGAATGGCGTTATACTAATTTTCAGGATCTCTGCGTACACGTTGACAGCATTTTGTTCTAGACTGACACAAAGTTTCTTTGGTGAAAGGCTGATATAAATTGCAAAGTTAATTTTCAGGGGATAATTTTGTTATTTGTGTGTTCGTACAACCTTGAACGAGGTAAAGTTATTTGCACTATTAAACTGAAACTAGAATGTTACATTAAAGTCCTTAAAGCAGAGCTTTAATGATCGGTGTTGTAGTATAGCACTAATTATCGTAGGTATTAAGTTTGTTAGCTGTAAACGGGTCCTTTAAAATTTCTGTTAATTAGCAGCTAAGCGTTCAACACGGGTTATGGTAGTTTTATGTTTACTTGAAGCTTATCAAACGTTTATCGTAAAAATGATGGTATAAGGTTAGATGGTTAGAAAATTTCACGACAAATTAGAAAATCCGAATCTCCGAAAGCTCAATAGAAATTCCATAAGGAAACTAAGTGGAAGTTGGGAGCCACGAATTTTTCACGTGAGTCACAAAAGTTTAGAATAAAGCGTCGGCGTGACAACCGTAAACACGGCTCCCCGCGTTGTTATAATTTTGAGCGATTTTAAAAGGGATTACAATCGAGTTAAAACCAAAAGTAGTGAAGTGAGAAAAAGTGCGGAAGTGTGACTTACAAAACCTTAAAATTAGTTAAATTTTAGTAAAATTTACAAGCACCTGCAGCTACGTTACAAAGTGTATAAACATCAACAACATAATAAAACCTTGACCAGTATCTACTGCATACAGCGCGCTAACGGTAAGTGGGTACTACAGCACACCTATCGTAATAACAGAACTATTTTTTCGCGAAAAATATTTATACTAGTTAGTAAATGAGTAAAAACGTAAAATCTGATGCAGCGAGAAAACTAAGTGTAGGCTCAATAGAAGAATTCTTATTCAAAAGGAAAAGAGAAGAAGAAGAAGGAAAAGGTCAGGTAGCAGAAAAATTTGACGCCTTCAAAAAGAGCAAGGTGATGCAAAGGACACCACCCACCGCAAGCAAAACAGAGAAACAAACAGATAATAAAGCAACAAGTATGGAAAGACTAGAGCAACTGATTACAGCGATGACCTTACAAATGCAAGAAGTTAAAGAAGAAATCAAAGAGGAGATCAAAAGCGCAAGAAGCGATATAAGAAGTACAAACGAACAAATGAAGAGATATGGTGAAGAAATAAGGATTTTAAATGAAGAGCTGAAGAAAAAAGAGGCAGAGTGGCAAAGCGAAAGGCAAGAATTACGACAAGAAATTAACCAACTCAAAAAGAGACTAGACACCCAAGACAAAAACACTAAGAAGAATAACATAGTAATTAAAGGATCAACATTGCAAGGAAATAATATGAAGGAGCAGGTCAAAGAGTTTATAGAAGAGCAAATTGGAATAAAGGTAGAGGTAGAATGTAGAAACAGCGTATAAGATAGGAAAACACGAGACTAAAGTAATAGTAGCAAAACTAAACAATTTTGAGCAAAAAGTTGAAGTGCTTAAGCATAAATACAAACTTAATGACCAAAATATATACATTGATAGCGATCTAACCCAGGAGGAGCAAAAAGTACAGGCCATGATAAGAAAAGTTTCTAAAGAAGAGAAGGCAAAGGGAAACAGCACTAAGGTAGGCTACAAAAAATTGGAGATAAACGGCGTTAAATATGTATGGGATGAAGAACATGGAAAACTTAAAGAGGCAAAAAACTAACGAAAATAAGACCAAACGGATATTTGACGACGAAAACGGCTACGAAAACGAAAATGAAGATGGAAAACAATATATTTTTGGCAACCTGGAACGTAAGAGGCACTTATGAGGAAGGGTTAATTAACGAGCTAACAAACCAACTAAAAAGATACAAAATAGATATAATAGCGTTGCAAGAAACTAAGCAGAAAGGAAACGAGGTTTATGATATTAATGGTTATACTTTCTTCAAGAGTGGTGGGAAAGACAGAAAATTAGGGACAGGTTTCATGGTAAGCAATAAACTAACGACAGCGGTGACACAGTTTACACCCATATCTGACAGAATATGCTGTTTACGACTTAAAGGAAAATATCAAAAAATAAGCCTCATCAACATTCATGCACCGACAGCAGAGAAGGAAATAGACGACAAAGAAAGATTTTACGAAGTATTGGACAATATATATGAAAAATCCCCAGATACGATCTAAAAATAGTGTTAGGCGATTGCAATGCTAAAGTAGGAAACGAAAACATGTACAGGCCAACAATCGGAAAATTCAGTATGCATTTAGAGACAAACGAAAACGGAAGACTGCTGATAGATTTTGCGATGAGCAAAAATATGAAGATAAAGAGTACTTACTACCAACACAAAACGATCCACAAAGGCACTTGGAGAGCACCACATGGAAACACGATTAACCAGATCGACCATGTTTTAGTTGACATTAAAAATGAAAAACTTATTAAAGATGTAAGAAGCTACAGAAGGCCAAATCTAGACTCTGACCATTTTTTAGTTGGAATAAAGATGAAGCAAATGATACCAACTAATACAGCAATACATAATGCAAGGCAGAGGAAACAAGCAAGAATAGGTATACAGGAACACAATTCGCAAATAAAATTTGAAAAAGAAATGGAAGAAAAGTTAAAAAGGAAAGAACAACACAAAAGTATAGATGAAAGGGTGAAGTGGATAGAAGACAATCTAAACTCTGCAGCACGGACGTGCTTTACAAGGCCACACAGACCAAATAAGGAATGGTACGACGCTGAATGCCAACAAGAGGTACAGCAAAAAGAAAAAGCCAGGATGAAGATGTTGCAAGCAAATACAGAAGAAAACATACGCAACTATGATGAGCACCGGAAAAAGTGTAAAGCAATATGCAGAGCGAAGAAAAGAAAACACCAAGCTAAAATATTAGAAGATATAGAAGAAAAATATAAAAACAAGGAGATTAAAAACTTTTACCAGGGCACAAAAAAGGTCAAAAGAGGGTTCCAGCCGACAACAAAAATGTGTAAGGATAAAGATGGGAATTTAATAGGAAATCAAAAACAGATAATGGAAAGATGGGCGGAATATTTCGAGGATCTACTCAACAAAAGTCGAGAAAACGAGAAACCATTACAAACGAATCTATCAGCACAGGCAAGCAACGAGGCACATGTCGAAGCTCCGGAACTGGACGAAATAATAAACATAATACTCAAGTTAAAGAACAATCGAAGCCCAGGAGCAAACGGAATACAAACAGAAATGATGAAATATGGAGGAAGAAAGCTACATGTACAAATATTTGAACTGGTACAGGAAATATGGAAAAATGAAAAGATGCCAAAGTCTTGGAGCGAAGCATTAATCTGTCCACTTTACAAAAAAGGTGACAAACAAAACTGTGAAAACTATAGAGGAATAGCTCTGCTAGATACAATGTACAAAATCTTAGCCACTTGCATAAACAACAAATTAAAAACTTACTCAGAAGAAATACTAGGTGAATACCAATGCGGTTTTCGACAAGGACGATCAGTAGTAGACCAAATATTTGTACTAAAGGAAATACAGGCGAAAAGTTACCAGTACCAACTCCAAACGCACCTTCTGTTTATCGATTTTAAGCAAGCCTACGACAGCATTAAGAGAGAACAACTATACATGGCGTTGAAGGACCTTGGAATACCGCATAAGCTGATCAGATTGATAAACATGACCTTACAAGACAGGACAAATATGGTGAGAGTGAACGGAGAATATTCAAGAAAGTTCGGAGTCAAGAACGGTTTGAGGCAAGGCGACCCACTGTCAACTACTTTATTTAACCTCGTGTTAGAAAAGATTTTGAGAGAAAGCAACGCCAATCGTCAAGGCACAATTTGTCACAACAGGCATCAAATCCTCGCATTCGCAGACGACTTAACAATCTTAACAAGGTCAAAAGACGAACTACAAAATACTGCAAAGAAGATTATAACAACTGCTAAAAAAATAGGATTAGAAATCAACGAAAACAAAAGCAAATATATGGTGTGGGACAATAAAAAATGTGACCAACCATTTAAAAATCACAATAGACCAAAACAGTGAGTACCGATTTTCAGAGGTAGGTGTGTTTGTGTATCTAGGGACAGTAATATCAAAAACACCCGGGAGTGCAGATGAAATTAGTGCTAGAGTAGCTGCAGGGACCAAGAGTGCTTTCGCGCTAAAATCAATAATAACGGGAAACGTGTTCTCTAGAGCAGTGAAACTCCGAGTGTACAAAACTATTATAAGGGCGGTAGTGACTTACGCATCTGAAGTGTGGACGATAAGAAAACAGGAACAGTTGTTACTCAGTATATGGGAAAGGAAAATTCTGAGAAAAATTTATGGAGGTAAAAGAGTGGGAGACACATGGGAACGGAGAACAAACAAAGAAATAAAGGAGCTGTATGACGATGCTGATATAGTAGGTGTAGTAAAGGCACAACGAATAAGGTGGATGGGGCATTTAATAAGGATGAACCAAGAAAGAGTTCCCAGTAAAATTTGGACAGCAGAAATGGGAGGTAGAAGACGAGTAGGAAGACCCAGAACCCAGTGGAAAAAGGAAGTCGAAGACGATCTAGCGCGACTACAGGTTCGGGAGTGGAGGGCAGCTGCTGAAAATAGGACAAAATGGGCATCAATTGTCCACCGAGCCAAGGGCCTACAAGGCCTATAGTGCTAATATATATCACAAAAGTCAGTTTTGTGTTTACAAATACTTCCTGACGATTTACCCGCAAACTAAACAACAAGAACTTTATAAATGAATAAAAAGTGACTGTCAATTTCACAGTTTTCGTCAGTCATTTCCTACACCAAAAAAGCCTTCTCAACCGTACTGCACTACCTTTTCAGTACGAAGATTTAATTGCTTTACTAAGTATGAGACATTTTGCATTTCGAAGTAAGTTTTTGTTTTCAGTTTCTACATCCAAAGTAACTGAATTTTTTCTCATATTTGTGTCTATACCTAGGGAAAATCATAGTGAGATGGTGTGTATACCTCCAGCTTTCAGATAGAGAACGTACAGTGCATTCATTTCCGGTAAATCCGATTCTATAAAATATTCCGCAGTTGAGGTTTTAATTCAAAAAGACACTTTATGATCATGAATATCTGCATAGTATATTTACCCTTAAAACACAAGTTGCTACCCCAGCCGAGTGCGTAGCGTAGCGTCAAACTGATGTGACCGATTCAGACGTAAATTGTACTAATGAACAAGTTAATTCCGCTAGTGCATCACATTTAGGATTTCTGAAAGAACTGCATTAATAAGTACCTCAAAAATAATGAGCCGTTGAAACTGAATTATATTAAATTTCACGGCACATTTAACGAGTATTAACTAATTCAAGCGAAAATGTACACAACTAAACAAATTTTAATTATACTTTACTAGGGTAGCTACTTTTTCTACTGCAGCTTACCAGGTCAGTTAGGTGTACTTAATAAGAAATGTAAATAAGTTCTTCTCGCCCAGAATACGTACGTATAGGTAATAATATAGGTAATTAATCTTTTGATTTATTCACACATTGCATTAAATACAAAGCTTGTATGTCACCACAATGATGCTAAACTGCAGTTAGAGAAAGTGCAGTTTTCATATTCGCATAATATAAAAGCCAATCCAATAATATTTTCTTAGCAAACATATGAAAAGCAAATACAGTCTAATGGAAAGCATATCTTATATTATTTTCTTTGAATAGGAAAAATTGCCACCTTATTTCTCGATCCGAGCACCCAAACTCATTCGAAAATCGATGGTGAAGGTAGGTATGCAGACCAGAAAAACGAATAAGAAACAAAGTTTATACTTCCAGAGTTTTATTGCCGTTATGGGAATATCTAAAATGTTCCTTATCATGATTTATATCTGGAATTTGAATAAATGTAGGTGGGTAATGTCGTATTAAATAAAAGTCTTCAATATAAAGCACAACATTAAAAGAAAAGTACGCACATCTCACCATAGCTATTTTAAGGGTTCCACTGACTGAGCTATACGTTTGAATGAATGTTTCATTCGGGTCTCTACAAATAAAATTTAACCGGCAGTCTTGAAGCAAATTTGGTATTTAATCACAAAGCAAAATTAATTATGTGTACATATAAGTACCTAATCGGTTTTAAGCGACAAAAGTGCTAGCCGTATGATATACATATTCTAATACATTTGAGCATTTAAAATTAAAATATATCGTCAGAGAACTTACTGGAATTTGGGAAGTCATTTAATTGTTTCGATGCCCAAAATTTCACTAATTCACCTGTTCTATTGTGGAAGTAAAGAATGTAGGCAATGTAACCTAATTTGAAAAAAAATTCGCCATCCATGTACCTAACCATCGCGCGGAAACATTGGAAATGCTAACAGTATAACGCCATATAAAACACCAGTAACGCATATTCACCCGGATCACTTGCTCCACTCGCTGGTGCCGCAAACATAAACCTTCTGAATAATAAGCGCCATAACATGCTCCTAATACTATGTGTTAGAATTTTAGATTGGAATTAACAATTTAGCACTACTAAGTAAGTACAGTATCGACAGAGTCCGCGACTTTTGATTCACGTACCGATCACGCCCGAGCACGGTGCAATTAGGGAATGCAATCCCGCAGCAAAATCTCAATCCCGGTATTTGCGGGATGTTTAGATGTTAATCCCGCGGGATCCCGGTATTTGCGGGATCTCGCAAAACTTTAAATAAATTGGCAAATAAGCAAGTCTGTGCGGTTAACTTCTGTATTAAAATAAATCGCTAATTATCACAATATTTAACAAAAAAGTACCTTCGGCCTAACTTAGAACTCAAAAAAACCTTACCTGTAAAGCACAAAAAGTCTTCTAAAGTGCCTCAAAAATCATAGTACATTTTTAACGAAAAAAGTTTAAAAATTATTTAAAAAATAATTCGCCGTTATCAGTTTCATTAACAAAGTAAACAGAGTCGTCCCGTTGGTCGACAAATTCCTCAGTTCCGTAAATCCCGCGGGATCCCGCTCCATTTATGTGCGGGATTAATCTCGCAAAAATGCTGCGGGATCCCGGTATTTCGGGATCCCGCAATCCCGGTATTGCATTCCCTAGTTTCTAGTCTATAACTTTTGATTGAGAAGTCCGATCGAAAAACTACGATTTGTTTTGGATTCTACGCATCAAAATTAATAAGAAAAAGTGTTTTCCCGAGAAATTTTGGCCCTCAAAAAAATTGTCTCAGATCGACACGGAAATTTTTCTTATAGAATGTGGCCTGTAGAATCCATAATTTCAAACAGTTCCAAGATTGGGCTACTAGTTCAAAAGTTACAGCCCTTTGAATTTTCTTATCAATCTTATGTAATCAATTCAAGTAGGTAGTGTGTGGTGCTAAAAAATAATCTGCACAATTCCCCTAATCATTTAACTTGTTCCATAATTACAACGTTCATAGTTAAAAGATTATAAAAAGTGCATGTTTGTTGAGTAAGTACGAATTTCGCACAAACTTGAGAGAGGTGCCCGTAGTTAATTCTTCGAACAAGTAAATCCATAAAATTTGGGTAACATTTCTCACACGTTTTTCAACACCTTTCGGTGGTAGTAAATTCTGTGAGGCTCTTGTGGCTTGCTCCACGATTTCTGGTGGGGTTAAATTTTCTACTTCATGATCACTATTAGACATGTTCACGGAATTCGTCAGAAAATTACGTTTTTTACAGGTTTTTCTGATAGTTTTTGACACTTCCCTTTGTTTTGATAAAGCTGGAAATTCTAACAGAACTTTATTACCGGAAAGCCTTTCAATTCGCCCTATTTACGTGAGAGATTTCGTTTTATCTGAAAATTTGCTGCAAATCAAATAGGTTTTTTATATTTACTGTCAAGCAAAATAATAACGCCAAAATGCCAAATCACTGTATGTATATTGATGAAAATTATAAAATGTTGAGAGTTGTAAATCTGATTTTATATTTAAAAAAACTAAAAATTGTAAGCGAAAGTTCCATAATCAGTCAGAATAGCTCCAAAAATAAATTTTACATCTTACCACCACCGTGAAAAGATTCTCTGACCAATTGCGTCTGCCCTCAGCTCATGTCCATTCTAGAAAATCAGTATTAAGTCTGCAATTAAATTAGAAGATTTAGATACTGTAAGGAGAAGAGTAGTATCACTCAGTCACAAAAAATTCAGTAGCGTCAAAGATAAATTTTACATCTCACCACTACCGGTAAAAGATAATCCTCTCACGTATATTTTGCCCTAATTGCTTCTTCCTTCAGTTGGTGACCATTCTAGCGGCTGGGTTGAAATCTGCAATAAAATAAAAAAGTAATGGGAAAATAAATATAACAAAAACTTTTTTTTGAAAATTTGTTGGGATAATCTAATTAGAAATTCTAAACCGAAAAATACATAATCAGTCAGAAAAAATGTATTTTATATTACACTACCAGCCTCAATAGCACCCTCCCTCAGTTCGTGACCATTTGGCCAGATCTGCGATTAAAATTTAAAAAAAGGGGAATTTTTTGACAGTCCATCGGAAACATTACTTTTAATCCGGCTGACCACTAGTCCTTAAAATTGTAGAAACCGATTGGCGAAGTGTTGACATCGCTCTCTCTTTGTTCTCGAGTTAGGAACAGCCGGTCGGACGGACGGGCAACACGATCACATAAGGGGATTTTCGTTTCTAAAACCCCTATAAATGCGGTGTGTTAAGAATTCTGCACACGAGGAAAAAGCAAAATTCACACACTTTCAACATTCACTACACTTTAATGTCGTAACAAATTCAACACCCCAAATAGTGAATTGAATTTCAAATATTAACAAATAACGAACGTGATATTATAATATTTTGTTACGCCAAGTAATTTAAATGAGAAAAGTTTAGCGTAAACAACTTCCTTCTTTAAAATTCTTTTTATATTCGTTTATCATTCTGGTTAATTGAAGTTCACTGCCTACCGAGAGCAATTTTTACATTTTTGTACTTGGCAGCTTAAATGAAAACCCTAAGATATAATTTCTTTAGGTATACATTTTTCATTATTCCTAAAGGTTTTTTCAATAGGTACAGTCGAACTTTGACTGTGTATGTTGACAAAACTACAGTTTTAAAATCTGATGAGAATGCTTGTTTCGTTATGACATTTAACATGCTTCATCAACCGCAAATTTTTAATTTTTTTCAATTAAAATCAGCGCTCTGTTTGCCTAAAGTTCAGTGCGCTTCGTCGAATTTATTGTCTTCGCGATTCGCCGTTTGGTCGACAAATTTGAGACAGCCCGACGGTGGCCGATATATCTTCAGAGAAATAGAATATCGTTGGAGAATATTGTTCCCTCAGGTGGAACATTGAATTTATTGCATGAGAGATTCGAGGGCTTCGGTCTGCGAGTGCGACATTCGCTGGTCATCGATGAGTATCTCGGGGTCAAGTCGTGCAATTTTAAGTAGACTAGATCTAGTTCGCTAGTCCAGTCTAGTATTTTAGAGAACCCCGAAGCCTTGAGTGCTGATTTCCTCACTCAACAACAGTCAGAGGAACACATTTTTGTTACGTGTCTTATGACTTATGTGGTCTTGTGATTATTGTATTTGAATTCATTTCCCAATGGTATGAATACTTAATTAAAATATAATTCTTAGTAGTAATGGGTCATGTACCTTTTCATACACAATGCACAACTGCCTTACCACATTTATATGAGAATAATTTCAATTTTGCATTGTGGAATGTATTCACCCGTATATTAAAGTTTCCCACGTATAAAATTTTACGCCAAAATATTCAAATTATAAAAAAAACCAATAAAATAAAATACAAGCATACGAGCCCAGATGCACTTATGTATTGAATCAAAGCAAGTACTTTTCCTTTTGGTTTCATTTATAATTATCGTAGTTGATAAATGTATTAGATATTGTTGATTAATTGGCAAAACCGCATCGTATCAATTAAGCTTAATCGTATTCGTTGAATTTATAATAGTGTAATAAATTATAATTCAGATAATGGCATTGCATATTTATTTTGGTCGAATACATATGTGTCTGGGCTCTTATACCTGTTGGTAACCAGTATTGTAAATATAGCACGCAAACAATGTGGCATATTCTGATAGCCATCGCAATAACTGCAATACAAGTAAGTACCGCAGATCCGAATTATTCGGCATACTTTCTGCAAGGACTGAATGAAGCAACACGTGACAACTCGAATGAAATTAGCGCCGACTGTCGACTCAATTTGATCCATTATCGAGACGGTCTCCTAGCAAACCAAGGATGGGCATTGGAAAGTAGAAACCGCCTCAGTTATTGAATAATCCACCGATTTTTTTCAGTGTTGGACGCAGGAAGTAAGCTACCTTTAGATACTGCATTAAAAACCCCCTTCGATTTTGGATCTCTATCTGAATGTATCGGGGTTAGTCGAACAGCAAATAGGTCGAACCTGGTAGGGAAATATTGCTATGCTCATGATGTTCTGGATTTGGATACTAAAAATCGGTCACGACATATCAGTTTGGCTAGTTGTTTGCCAAATGCTTGTTCCTCCCGTGATTTATCGACTTTGTACAATTACTTTGGTATAAATGCGACTTTCATTGAAGAGCTTTGCGAGTCTAGTTTGGTGCAAGCTGTGCTCGGGATCGCCGAATACTGTGGAATGTACGTAGACCGCGCAGATTTGGTATTTACAGAATATTGGTTTTTCTAGATCATTCTTTGGCGTCATAGGACTTTTAATTATAATTTCAACTGGTTATGATATATACCTGAAAGTTACAGGATTGGGTAAGTAGGCGAATCACACAAAACTAAAATTCAATGCGCCTTTCTTTACAGAACCCGAAAGACCTAATTTATTAACTTTTTCCGTTATCAGAAATATTAAAGCGATATTTTCGAAAGACAGCGGGGAAATACCATGTCTCAATGGAATTCGAGTTCTTAGCGTCATGTGGATTATACTCTATCAGAGACAAGAAGTATCTCGCTCGGTCAATTCTGAATGGTGGGACGGTCATGCAAAACAATCTGTAAATATCTACTTCAACCAAGCAGGTAACTGCATAAAATAATCGATTTCAGGGACACCATGATCTTGCTAGTATGTTTTTGCTTAACGGATCATTGGCAATCGACACCTTTCTATTGCTATCAGGAATTTTACTTTCATATTCGTATTTAGCATTAAAAAAGAAAGGGAGATCGTTTAAAATTTCTAAGTTCTATATACACCGCTATTTAAGGTAAAGTTCTTCACTTCAAAACGAGCTCTAAACCTTCTCTTAGGCTTGCTCCAGTTTTAATTGTGGTTATAGTTTTTGTTGTAACGCTGCTTGGGCAGACATCCTCCGGACCATTCTCGAGAAGCACACTAAATAGGCACATAGTGGACGCTTGCAGCCAAAATTGGTGGCAATCACTCTTGTTCATTCAAAATTATGTCCCAGAAGCGGTACGTTGCCTGTTGTCAGCTGCAGAGAATCACGCCTTCTTTCAGTGCCTGAGTCACACTTGGTATTTGGCCATTGATGTACAGCTGTATGTTATTTCGCCAATCTTCCTTCTTTCCTTGTCAAAGTGGCCTAAGTATGCTACAGGTGTTACTATTGCGTTGTTAGTTTGTAATGCAGTAGCTGCTTTCACTTTCAGTTGGATATATGAACTGAATGGAACCATGGAAGGAAACTTAAGGTAGGCACTTGTCTTATACTTTAAAGTCAGATGTACCCGTAGGTTTCCCCAAAAGATAGTGGAATACTTTATGTATATTTACTATCCAGCTTATATGCGAGCGGCACCATGGCTTATAGGTATACTAGTCGGGCACCACTTGCACAGATCTAAGAACGTAACCTATAAACTATCAAAGGTAGGTGCTATTAACCGATTCAAAGGTAATGTGTGCTTTAAGCCCGTAGTTGTGGTACTGTGGGTGATAAGTATCACAGTTGTAGGGGCGATGATGTTCGGTGGATATGATCTCTTAGTCTCGCCGGATAACAAACTTGCAAATTCGCTTTATAATGCATTGGCGAGGCCAGCTTGGGCCTTATCCATCTCGGCAATGATCTTCGCCTGCATCAACAATTTCGGAGGTAACTCTTGGGAATCTTGTTTAAAGTACGACATATATTTCAGGTCCAATCAATCGGTTCTTATCATCACGATTATTCACAATCTTGTCGCAACTTACGTATACCTTGTATGTTATCCACTACGTTGTCATTCTCATTCTGGTTAGTAGATCCCCAACGACAAAGACATTTGGTAGCTTTGAAGCGGTTAGTATGCTGCACCTTTTTACTCACTTACATTAACTAGTATGGTTACAGATGCACGAATTTTGGGGTGATTTTGCATTTTCCTTACTTGCAGCAATTTTGCTAACATTAGGCGTGGAAGTACCAATCCTGAAAATTGAGAAGAGCATTTCAACAAATACCGGTCAATCGTGATACACCTTACATTCACGCTTACCAATAAGTACCACTTTTAGGTAGATACCAAGACACTGCGAAGAAAATTAATGAAATTCCTATGCTGCAAAATATCGAAATTACTGAGTAACTGTTTCGGTTGGTTTCCTCCGATAGTAGTTTATGGTGTGCGGTGATCATCGTCCAATGAAATCTGTAAATCACTTAAGGTGGTTGTTTTAGAGCACATATTATTTTTAATTTTGTTTCGTATTCGTAGAATTCCAAATTAGGATTAAATCGGTTATCAGAACGAATCGAAATTTACTTCGGGATTTCCGGCTATAATTTCAATGGAGTATTTATTTACGTTTGAATGTTCCAGAAGGTCCCAGTAAGTACGCTAAACAAATTACTGTAACATACACGAACGCAATAATATAAATAGAACCGCTTCCAGTATAATCGTCCATGGAACATTGCGTTCCCTATTACGGCTTTCATTGATAGTACTGCCTCCCACTTACACTTGCATCACGTTTATGTATTTAGGTAAAATGGTATTTAAAATATTGGTATTTCAAAAACACGAATAGTAACTAACTAAAATGGAAATAGTTACATTTATAAGCCATGGATAATTATATGTAGCTATAGAGTACAATAAGAGATACACTGATTTCAACTAACATATGCACTTATTAAGTGATAGGTCTAGTATTAGGTATTCTGTAGTGACATATTCTCTACCTCCATATGGTGCAATCAGTGCAATCTGTACTAATGTAAATTGGAACCTTATTGTTTCAGTGATTAAATTTGCTCTTGAATCGTGTATATTTCTTTGAGATATTTTGAAAAAAATTGATTTTTACCTATAGCTATTTAAGAAGGGTGAGGTATTACATGGAAAAATCAAAAAAAATTTAGCTTTTGTATTGAACTACACTCTCAAAGGCAAACGTTTACTGTGGAACTATTTCTTTTTTTGGTGTCAAACAAACCCATTGTCTGACACATTACCTCACAAAACCCAAAAAGTACCAAATTTAGTTTAGTCCTCATGATTGTAAAGCATAAAAGGCATTGCTTGCCAATTTATCGACAGTCTATGAATAGTTTTTCGGTTTTTCCCATTCTGTGCGCAAGTGCACGTGTATAGTTAATTAGATATATAGAGCATTTATACCTTATTTTTGATTCTTCATTATTTGAAAACAAACCTATTAACATTTTCTTGCAATTCAGTGAACCAAACGAAAGGTTCAGTTATTCACTACTATAGTTAATTTTTTACTACGAAGACAAATATAAATGCCTGATTCACACTGAAAATATCACTAGAATCTAGTCATAAAATTACACTGATATGTATTGTCGGCTGCGTGATGCGCTTTCCTTTCACATTTACATAGATTTAATGTATATTTTGTGTATTACTTGGTATGAAATACGTTCCGTAAGCAATAGGTAGGTAACACATTGACGATAGATAACAATAATCCTGCATACATTATTTGGCCTTTGAAATTTATTATTATGAATTGCAGTTTTAAATGTTTTATCAGTTTACCATTTAATAGTACTGTGCTATTGAACAGAGATCTTAGTGTTTCTCGGGCCCAAGGACTTGGTTGTTTGAATATGATCCGTGAAATGGAACACTTGATGATGTACGTATCAAAAAAACAATTGAACCCTCGAACAGGCACATTTCGTCCCCATTTAAGCGATGTTGCAACCCAAAAGGATTCGTGGTTTCAATATTGTGCATGTAAAATAAGTCGTCCTGCATACAAATAATTGTAAGGGATGTGGTCTGTATATAATATTAAAAAGAAGCTTTACGATTCTGTTTTTTTATTTTGCCTTTACAACGAAAGTTGGTATTATGCCATCACCCGCTATCTAAAGAGTATTTTACTTGTTGAAAGTTTTTGTGAAATTTTCTTAGCCGAAGTCATCTGTTGAAATAATTTTCAATTTTTGGGTTCGGACGCGAAATATTTCACTTTCAGTTAAAATTTTAGGACTTCCAACTTTTAAGATTAGAAATTAATGTTATGATTTGCGTCATTTGATGGTCATTTGTATTGACGGGGTAAAGGCAAATTATCGAGCGAAAATTACAACTGCACAGAAACAAAGAGAAACAAGTTATGAAAGGCGTCGATCTAACATATATTTTTTAGGTTGGTTTTAACAAATTTTCACTTGAAAGTGAATTCGAATTGCACATCCGCTACTTCAAAAATTTCGACTTTCATGAAATAACTTTCAGCATGTAAAACGGGCTTAAATCAACATAATTTGAATAACGGTAGGTATAAAACATTTCAATGGATTGTTAAAAAATGACAACTAACGCTCCCTTTAGATCCCTTGACGGGTGTTTCTAAATACATTTGTCTGTTTTTAGGGGTTTTTACCATAAAAACACTTTAACTGAAAAGCATCAGAAGCATCTTAATTATTTCACTCTAAACTCGCTATTAGCTTCAAAAAGGCTCTTGATTATTCGTAGCATAGTGCGAAAACATTGCATAATTAGGTGCTGAAGTAAATAAATCTTAGACAGCCATCTAATTAAACGAAGGGTGGGTTTGTCGAACACGAAGCAGGTGTATTCATATTATGAAAAAATGATTAAGTATTGCAATTGGAAAATGAACAAAGAAGAGTAAGAAGAAATGTGGGAGAACATTGGATGCCTAATGATTCATGTCGCTCACGCGCGCTTTTTGTTTAGTTCCTATTTGTTTCGGTAAAAATAAATTGGTGTGGGTTCTGTACAAATTGAGAAACTCGCAACGCGTGTTTTGTTTCTGTTTGTTGTTTCATACCACGCAATCTAATTCACCCACCGGTCACCGGGTTGGAGGTTTAAGGGCAAATGTTTTAGTCTCGAAAGACTGTAATCATTACTGTAACCTCTTCAGACGTTTCTTTGTTGGACAGTACAGTTATTATGAGAATAACTTTCGCTACATAATGCTACTGGAAAGATTGGAAAAGTATGTACCCAAATCTATGACGAGCCAATTTTAATACGAAAATTATGGGTCTTAATTAGAAGCACCTTGGCGGGGCCATCGGTCATATACAGAGTCGCAATATAAAAGTTTCGATGGGCAATACCGTTTTTCCTATTATCAATATAATGGTAATACTCAAAACTGTTTCGATAGTAGATAGGAAAAAGTAACTACTCGCTCCATCCGTCACCTCATCTCAACATTTTTAACATACCATTTTCAGTAAACATGTTGAAAGAGTTTTCTATTGATACACCATTAAAAGACACGTTCATAATTTATTGTTTATTCATAAATCGTGTTTTATTTGTACTCGAAAGGTGTATATAGTAGGGTTTTCCTTAGTTTGTGCGCACGTCATCAGTGTATTAATACGCTATCACTAACTATGTTTACATAGCATCATGCGATCAATGGATGAGCATACGTATGCAGGCAGCAATAGAGAAAGTGCTGCATTGTGGGTAGGGTACCCATACATCAACTCCTTCTATTAACCAATTTCTAAAACAATGTGATTCTAACAGGTTGTCTATGTCGCCATCTTTTACTAACAAGGATGTGCAAGAAAAATTTAAACAAAAATCATTGTAATTGATTTTCCGTTAGTAAATATCATCTTCATTTCAATCATCTTTTAAATGAATTATTACTGGGTTATATCCTCAGAGTAAGAAATAAAGATAGAGTACGCGTACGCTATAACAACGTGAACGTTTGTTTTGATCCAACATCTCAGTCAATTTGACAGTTGAGAGGTAGAAAGTAAACATTAGTCAGTGGCGTAAGGTTTATTTATTTTTATGGGCAACAAAGTTTATGTTTTGTTTACATGTGCAAACGTAATAACCTATCACTAAATATTTATGACCAAAAGCTGTATGTGTTTGAAAGGTCCCTATTGATCTATGATAAGGTATGGTGACACTTCAAAGTGGAAACTTAGAAGGAAATCTAAACACATTAAAATGATAAATTCCCGTATGCACGTCTATGACTTCAAAACACATACGGATGAAAGGTTATGTTAGGTAATTCAATAATTCCACAAATAATACAGCTTTTACCCCATTTCAAAGGGCTCCCATAAATTAATACACCACAATCGAATAAGTCCTCCACTATAAAAACGCCTAAAAATTAAGGAATCACGTTTTAACGAAATAAACAAAATACCTCTCAACGGACAACAGAGTTACAGCGTTGCCGTTGTGGTGCACTAATCACCATAACTTTTCTTGTTACGCCGTTTAATTGTAGGTTAAAATTGTTTGGGTTACTGAACTCTTATAAGCATCTAAAAATCCATTTAGATTACTCGAGATGCATATATTATTAATATTCCCTTAAAAACTATTTCGTGAAATGTGACAACTTAGCCTCCTGCAATGTTAGTAAACAAAAGAGATGATGGCACGCATAGATAAGCATCAAGGCATCTCTATCTTTATTTCTTACTCTGAGGTTATATCTTCTCGGTCAGACTTGACTTCTCTGTGACACCAATCTAATAGTATATTGTTCGGACGGAGAAAGTGATCTTCCAACACGAGTTGGAAAATGCGCTAAAAACTGCGCTATAGTATATTCAGCATAACAGCCCAACATGCATATATTTCGGTTTTCATCTTCATACCTAAATGCATGAACTTCTAAAGGTATGTAACATATGTGTATTCAACATCACCTCCAATACAAGTTCATTTCTAGAAGGGTGGCAAATGCTATTGTAATGTAAAATAATGGAGAAACCAATGAAGTTTCTGCAATAAATTTTAATCTATTAGCGTTTTATACAACCTTCAAATGTTGCAAGTGCAGCGGAGTGTAAACCGTACTCGAACATTGTAAGGACGCGTTCGTTCTATTTCTTTAAATTTGAATCGTTGCATCGCCAGGGAAATTACGGACGCGGTCCCGTGGTAAAACGTAAAAATATCGCGCTTCGGGAAAACGTATACACAACCAGTAATTTACAGTGCACAAGAAACGTTCGCTTTCGTTTGTGCTACGTAGGAGTTGAAACCAGGCGTATGCACGGAAAATTGTACAGGAATTTTTAAATTAATAAGAGTGCATAAGCTAAATATAAATTAGTGTGTGAAAGCAGATGTATGAAACATTGCAAGGAAATTGATTGTTTCATTTATTATTACTCAAATTGCTATTTTATTTTACCGTAAGGAACCTAATAGGGTTTTAGTAATATAAAGTAACAGTCGCCTCAAACTAACATTGTATTCTCTTACAGCAAAGGCGATATTTTTTAGACAATAAGAACCATTTCACAATTTAATAAAGATTATTGAGTTATTATTGACCCCTTTACCTTATTCCTTAAGAGGCCAGAAGAAGATTGTTTGCCGATGAGCAGCCGAGGCATATTAATATAATTACATAACAAGGACCACCTCCAATTTAATTACGATATATGAAGAATAACCATAGACATGAAAGGGGAGGAAGAAGTAAAATTTGTAAAAAGTATTAAATAAAGGGTTGAATCTCTTGATACTATGGTCATTGTATACGTATACGTATAGGTATTACTATACAATGCTATAGTATACAATGTGAGTTCTTTTTCAAACTTATGTACCCAAGAAATAGGGCCAGTATCCACAAGATTAGAGGTTTCTCCCTAGGATATTTGATGGCTACTTCGATAACAATGAAGCGTGTTAATACATAATATATGGATATATACTGAAGCCCTACCGACTGGTTTCATAAAACGCGAGCACATACTTGTATAAAATGTCTTTACGGTTAGTACTTCTTGGTATTGCAAATTGCAAAA